ACATCCCCCATTAGTAATAGTGGATCAGCGAATTGTACAATAGCACAACTCTTCTGATAAACTACCTAGCTAAGCTACAAGCTAGCTAGAAAAATAGCTATCAAACGGATTCATTTAGCTTCTCTATTTATAGAACACTTTGTATGACGCGGTAAACATTACCGAGTAGTCAGTCATCCATATAACACTGAATAAAGTAGATACCTTTTAGCCCTTTGCTGCAATGTGAACAATAACGCTTGTCATTACAGCTTGTCGTTTCATATTAGCTCACGCTAACGCTTTAACACGCTAGCATCCTAGGTAAGTGCTAGCAGAGATGCAAATCAAGGCATGTTGTAGATATATAGGATTGGTCCTTGATCTTGAACCTGGTTCTGGATGGATATGACAGTTCGCATGTTGCAATTTGTGGTTTTGTATTCGAAATAACGTTGAAATAATGTGTGAAATAAAGAGAAAAGGCCGTGTGGACTGAAAAAGCTCAGCTACTGCCATGCTACTTAATAAATATTTAAGCTAGCATCGTCACTAATTGTAGCTAGCTAACCTTTAACACTGAAATCACTTGAAATACCACATCGAACTGTGGCTTTACTTCCATTTTGGAACGATTATGCATCCATTAGTTTGCGTCACCAAGAAGCGAATTCTTAAAGCAAATACTCTTTAGAAACGTTCTTTCCGCTAAATAATTAACCGAAGGTCCGAAGTACGGATTTCTTAGTAGCGCTTACGTACCCTTAGTTTTGATATGAAAAAGAACTCTACAGCTATCATGATTATTATTCAGTAGCTCCACGGACAAATGATGAAGCTAATGTTGCTATTATCAGAACGAGGAAGCAGTTCCAAGGAGTTTGGGAGGTTAAAAATGAAAATCCAGAGCTTTTTCGGGTTATTCTCGGCTTTAGCCGTCTCTAAGTACATCTCATTCATCACCGCAAACTATAGTGAGGGGGCGCAATAATTAGGCCAAATCTGCTCTGACATCTTTCTGCCTCAACACACTGGCTTCTGTTCGTTCAGACAGCAGCAGCAGATTTGATGCTCCGTTCCAATTCTCTCACCATTAATCCTGCGACTGATGGAGAAAAGCGAGAGACGCTCGACCCGGAACATTCAAAGCAAGGAGCTTCCGAGTAGAGAACACACACACACACACACACACACACACACACACACACACACACACACACACACACACATGTTCATGTGTACTTTCCTTCATGCTGTTTCTTTAAAATAATGTCATGACAATTATCTCTCCATCACAGTCTGATGAAAATCAGGTAATCTGAAAATCTGATCTAAATCAATGTGACAGTGGATTCTCGACCCTGATTGGTCAGAAGGTGTTGATTCATTTTCTATAACAGCAGCTCTGACAGTAACGCAGCTCCAAATCACCGGTTTATACTGTATTAACGCACTCCTTCTAATACTTTATCGTTTCCATAGTAATAGCTCCGCATCCGTGGATTTAAACAAAGTTTATTTGACATTTATGGAAGGAGTCTCCAGTGTCAGAGCTTTGTAACAGCCAGAGGTAAAAAAAAAAATAAAAAAAAACACCACCACCTGTCACTATCGTTGGCGAATTGCTGTGGAGGAAGAAATAAAAAGAAAATAAAAACCACTAGGTCGCGCTGTTATGGGAAAATAATCAACTTCAGGGTGGTAGCTAAAACTCCTATAACAATCTGAGAGGGAATGATGTTCTTAAATACTAAACATTTAGTGATTTCATGGAACAGACATTGTATTTTTTCTGTATTTCATTGGAAAGTGAATAAACTGAAATAACCCCCCCCAAAAAAAAACCCACAACAAAAACAAAAACAAAGAATCTTAAATTAAGCTAATAATACGATTTTCAGTATCATTAACGATAATCCGCAGTGCATCGTGCATAAACGCCGAGAGAACGTCTGTTGATTCGACCTTTCTGAAAAAATACTTGGGGGGGGGGATCATAATATCACCCTAATTATAAAAATATGATGTAAATCGTTTCTAATTAGCCGAGACCTGATGTCTCATCGTCATGCAGGAAGCGTGGCTTCATCTGTTTTGCCCGTTTAGGTGCTGCACATCAATCGCAAATGTGCTGCATGGGATTTCTCACCCTGCTCTCTCGGGGACTGGGGCGTGTAAAAAAAAAAAAAAAGACACATCTGCATTTTAAATCCCTACAACAACATCATTGTTGTGTTGAAATGACATTCTGTGGACGACATGGTCCACGTGGAGCACTCTGGCTCATCCTAGGAGACTTACGAAGTTCCAGATTATTGATGTTTGACACCATCCCTGGTGTCTAGTACTGCTTAATTCTCTCTCTCTCTCTCTCTCTCTCTCTCTCTCTCTCTCTGGAGATATGCAGGCATGAATCAAACAAACAGTGCAAGTAGTTATTGCTTTTAAAGCACGTGCACTGCTGCTTGTTTTCATACCAAAGCTAAACGTATATTGTTGAGAGAGGAAAGATTCCTTTGTAGATTTGTATTATTTCCTATCAAAAATCGGCGATAAATTAATTGCATGCACCATGCCGTGAAGGGTAAAAGGTGCAATAGTCAATATGTTTCATTTCTTCATTCTTTCATTTCTAGTAGAAATGATGTGAAGGATTATGAAGAAATCATAAAAAATATTAGTTGAAGCCATTTTCTCAGAACGAGTCCAATACGTAGCTGAAAAAACAAACAACAACAACAACAACAACAGCAACAGCAACCCTGTTTGGAAACCTGCCTTCAGGTTCGGAGTGTGTGTTTGTATTTGGATTGGCCTCTTGTTAGTCATTTTATAGACACGCCCACAACACCCCTTATGAGGAGAAGTCTTGAAAGTGATGTCATGAGAGTCCTTGCTAATGGAAACGCTAGTTCGCATGCTAACTCTAGTTGAGCCACCATAGGTTTTGGGGGCGGAGCTTTGTGGGAATCGGAGCAGGCTCCACCCATTTAACCATTGCATTAGAGACTGATGATCTTACCTACTGCACCTTTAAAATACTCCATCAAACCAGTTAAATAAAAACAAAAACATCTGGCCTCAATTATTAAACTAGATATGGACACATTTTCCGAGGAGCATTTAAACAAGAAATATGGTCCTCATGAAATTCCAGTTAGTTCTATAAAATTTCAAAAACGCAAAAGCAGTGTAGTTGAATTGTGTTCGAATTTGTTGCCCATAAATGTAAGCGCTATGAACACGACCTGGAACAAAACCTTAACCTTTGTAGCGTTTTGTATGCATCATGTGAGAAGTTACAAATTTGCACGTGTGGGGAAATGGTAAAAAAGTTAGATGTTTAATGTTTTTTTTTTTTTTTTTGTCATAAGAAAAAAGCGCTAACCCCACTCCTACCAAACCATTTAATACAAATTCACTGACAAACTAGATAGAAAATATAAATGATAACTTTTAACCCCACCCCTAACCCTAACGCTTCATAACTTTATCAGTTGGACTGACTGGAGGTATTTCATTTAAACATGCCTCCTCAGCTTCCCCACCCAAAAACACGACGTCCCATCTGCTTAGACAAAGCAACGCCGTTTATCACAGTACCTACGGTAATGACCCTCGTTAAGAGACTGGAGTAATTAGCATTTGTACACGGGTATGGCAACGTAGCAGGTATTATTCATGGGGATTTCCAAATAATGATAATCTCCAAATCTGGCCACGTTCTGTTCTGTAGTTTAATAATGTGCTGAAGGTGCTGTGATTACCTCACACTGTTACAGTCGAACTGCATTCACAAAACACAGACATGGATGACATGAAACCTGGTCTAGATATAGAGACTGTCTGTCTGTCTGTCTGTCTGTCTGTCTGTCTCATCACCCTACCTTTTCGAAAAAAAAAAAAAAAGGAAACAAGACAGACAAAGGAGAACAAACTTGATTTTTTGTCCCCGTTTGGCAGGAACACGCGAGCAGCCACTTTGCTTGTATGTGGGTCACAGACACCGTTCCCAGCTGTTCAGCCGAGTCAGCTGCGCCGCCAGTGCGCCCACCAACATCTGCTCCACAAAAACAATCTCCAGCTTTTAGTAGTCAAATGGAGGTTACACCATATGCCAGCAAGCCACTTAGTTTGTGCCATGGGAGCTCGACTAACACTAGCCGAGGTAACAAAGAGCGGGAGGAGGACGTGGCTCTCTCGGCCCATCAAAGACGCGCCGGTGTGCATCTGCTCAAGGTGCTCGGCAATAACGCCGTCTGCTGAATATTAATGTGTCCAGACTACTGCTCGACTACGAGGTCTGCTCCAAGGTCCAGACAAGTTTACCTCCGCATTCACACGCTAAAGACGTTCATGCTGGAAGAAGTTCGACCAAAATGTACTCGCGGATTTGCAAAATACCTTCGAACTAACTCAGACATTCACTGTTTGTAGGATTATGACACACTCGCTCTGACTAACATCGTGTAAATATATTGTCCAGATTACAAATGTCAGCAAAATCAAGAAAGTTATGACTAACTATAACTAGTTCCAACTAGAACTATCGCAATTACTGTAATTAGAACATGCAGCTATGTAAGGACTGCTGTTATAGGAAAATAATCAACAACAGGGGTTGTGTGATGAATCAGAGTTAGCGCTTTTAACCAGAGGCCAAAACAATAGAATTTTCCACCTGTTCTCGTGGTACCCGTGTTCAGAATTGAATTTATTTGTGACATCACACTCAGAAGTGCTCTGCGATGGATTGGCACCCTGTCCCGGGTGTACCCCGCCTTGTGCCCGATGCTCCCTGGGATAAACTCCAGGTTCCCCGTGACCCTGAAAAGGATTAAGCTGTACAGAAGATGGATGGATGGATAATAATGAGTCTTTATTGATCACATATACACAGTGAAATTCTTTACTTCGCATACTCCAGCATGTTAGGAAGTTGGGGTCAGAGCGCAGGGTCAGCCATGATACAGCGCCCCCGGAGAAGAGAGTTTTAAGGGTCTTGCTCAAGGGCCCAACAGTGGCAGTGCTGGGGCTTGAACCCCCGACCGTCCAATCAGCAACCCAAAGCCTCAACCACTAAGCCACCACTGCCCCCTGGATGGATGGATCACACTCAGTACTAGTAAACGTGCAGTTTTTCATGAGTTTTCCCTTTTATTTTTAGCATGCTAGATTGAAATATAATCCTTTTATTGTTGCAGTTGTATACAGTGCCATGATGGGGGGAAGTGGTGGCTTGGCGGTCGGGGGTTCAAGCCCCAGCACTGACAAGCTGTTACTGTTGGGCCTTTGAGCAAGGCCCTTAACCCTCTCTGCTCCAGGGGGCGCTGTAGCAATATAGACATATACAGTACGTATAGTTATGTTCCAAAGTTAGTTCCTATTATCATGTACGTTATAGCAGCTATAAACAGTAGTTCCCTCACCAGCCTCTCTTTTCTCTAAGGAAAAAAACGCAGATTGGAAGAATCCGCAAAGCGTAAAAACTCCTCCATGGAAACCGTAAAGTTACAAATTTACCTCTGATTGTTACAGCGCTGACACTGGAGACTCCTTCCATATATGTTAAGAAACATCTCCTGACAGAAACTTTCAACGGTTACGTAAGATTTTTTTTTTAACCCTAGTTCTTTTGTAAATTCAGGTATGTATGTATGTATTTATTTACAACTTTACAAGAACGAGCGCCCTTCAGATTTGTCGTTGTCGTTGAACTAAACGTTGTAATGAGAATTGTTTCCATATTTGACGCCACGACTTTTGACGCATTATTCAGTACGTTGTAGTTACAATACACTGTAAATGAAAGCGTGGCCAAAACATTTCATTGCATTTTGTTTTAAATCTCAAAGACTTAAAACCATAAGTTTTTGCTCAATGGCCAACCAAAATACATAAAATAACACGATTCTAAGGCTTTAAAAGTTAGCTAAGAGAAACAATTTTGTTATAGCTCAGATTAGAGTATAAATCATACCTGAATGTCATTGCTATTTTATTTTCAGGGGCGGAGCAAAGATCAGGTGGTCCTGATGTCAAGCAAATTAGAATCCAATGTACATTAGCTTCTAGCATCTATTTAAAAGGCGCATTAATAATAATAATAATCATCATCATCATCATCATCATCATCATCATCATCATCACTGCAAACAATTTTGCAGCTTTAATGTTATGTAATTAACATGAAGTCATCGGCGTCCTGAATCTTTGGCATGATATTTCCTTTTAAAGCTCGCTACGACTTCGCAGCGATAAATAATTACTCGTCAACTTCACTCAGAAAGATAAAGCGCAGAGCTATTTAGCCGTTTAAGACCAATTAAGGGAACAGATCCGGACTGTACGAGCCGTGACTGTACGAGCTCAGTACGCAGAAAGGTGATAATGATGTTTTAATTAAATATGGGAGCAAAGGGTCCCAAACTGTAGCTTACAGCTAACCAAGCAGCGGCCATTTAGTAAGCATGCAGACGAGAGCCCATTACTGTCTCGTGCCTCTGCTTTACTGGGTCTCTGTGACTTTCCTTCAGGCTAAACGCTGCTCATTAATCAGCAAATTGTGAAGAAGAAGAGGAAGAAGAAAAAAAGCACCGGTCTCTACAGATGTGAGACGAGGTTTAACAAACCGGCGATGTGCTCGTGTCACCACACGTTTCAGTGCAGGCGAAGTTCCTGCCTGTGGAGTTTGATTTTTATTTCAGTTGAAGCAGATGCGCTCTTGTCTTATTCAGGGTTTTGTAGCTGCGCGTGAGCAGGTCTTTGGGGGAACAGATCCTTTATCTTTTAATCCGTCTCCCTTATTATAGCATCTATAAATACTTTCAAAGAAAGATTTGGCAGTGAGCTATTAGCATTTAGCTTGTTTGCACCGGGACAGCTAGTTATTAGCATCCAACTATCCAGCTAGTTTATATCATCAGCGTTATTATTATGCTAGCTGACATTTGAGCGATTAGGAACAAAGCTGTTGTTGGTTAGCCTTAGCTAATAATTTCTTTGCTTCCTTGGTGAGGGAGGTGCTAATTTACTGTCAGGAGCTGAAAATCCGGGTGTGATTTAAGACATATTTTTTATATCCTTTATATTTATAAATTCATCAGGCGACTTTAGCGTCAAACGGCTTCATGAAGTCGATTTAAACTCCTAACGAATCTAAACATTAACAGATGTGACAGCTAGTTATTATCATTCATATTGCTAGTGCATATTGATGTGACAGCTAGTTATTATCATTCACATTTTGTACTGTGACGGCTAGTTATTTAGCTTTAGTCTAATTTGTAACTGGTTTGTATTGTGACAGCTAGCTATTAACATTCATCTAATTTTTTATTGTGACAGCTAGTTATTAGCTTTCATTTAGTTTGTATTGGGACAGCTAGCTATTAGCGTCCAAGTTAATATCTTCAGAGTATCTATCATGCTAGCTAACATTTAAGAGATTAGGAAGAAAGCTGTTGTTGGTTAACCTTAGCTAACAGTTTCTACAGTATGTTCTTTGGTTCCTTGGCGAAACAGGCATTAATTTACCATCAGGAACTAAAATCAGGGTGTGAGTCGAGAATGAGGTAGATGTTTTCCTTCAAGAAGGATGAGTTTAAATTGACTTTTGATATTTTTCCACAGGATATATTTAGATCAGTGATTACACTTGGTTTGTACTCGAGTAAAAAAAAAAGAATTTGTCTACTTTCTATAGAGTTAAGCTTTGTGTACACTGCGATCATTAGTTTTTCGTTTTTCTAAATGGGAAACTCTCTCTCTCTCTCTCTAATGTAATATTTGATTTACAGTTTTAAAGCCAAGATGTCTTTTCAACACAATGTAAACGGATTAGCCATTATAAACTCCACACTTAAGGGTGCAAACTTTTGAAATCCAAAACGGGATACGGATATAGGATATAGGAAATCATTTTGATTTCAAGATGCAAATTCAGAATAATATCTCCCAGAATTCACATTTTTACAGTTTTTGTAAAAACTCCATGACCTTTAACCTGAGATCAGTGATACCCTGAGACAGTGTGCACTTTCTCCAGTGGTCAGAGGAGGGCAGTACAGCAGCACATGACCTGCAGTTTGTATCATTTTGTTCCTTTTTTTTTGTCATGTCCATTACATCAATCTTACATGATATAATTAAACAATGCTGCTGGACTGGTCTCAGTCCGAGTTTTACTCCCTGTGAGCGTGCGTGCGACTTATTTCATTTTGTTTTTGAGGTCATTTTTAATCCAACGTGCTGTTTTTGTCTGCTACCCAGTTGATCAGGATAAATAACACAGACACACAAGCTGTGTGATTATGCAAATAGCTCGGTGATTATGTTAATTTAGGGTTAAAATGACGAGAAGCTGTGATGAAGTTTTTCAGCATGATTATGATTATTACGATGATTTAATACCGGTTACATCAGTGTTTCAGTGCTGTGTGATTTGCATGTTATTAAAATCAGACTCAATTTGTTTTATTATGTAGTTTTATTTACAGTATTCACTTGTTTTTATTAGGACAAAATGTAATATCTGTTCTATAAAAACTTTTCTCTCTTTCTCTCTCTCTCTCTCTTTCTCTCTCTCTCTCTTTTTAAATATCAACCCTTCCAGATAGAGCTAAAAAAAAAAAAAAAAAAAAAAGTAATTTGGTTAAATTTGAAAGTAATCTTTACTTTAATTGCTTTATTTATTAACAGAAACTTTTTAGTCGACATCATGCTGATTAGTGTGAATTGTCCCTGTTAGTTAAGTACAGATTACTGTTGGCTTAAATATATAAATATATATATATATATATATATATATATATATATATATATATATATATATATATATATATATATATATATATTTGTTGATGTAATTATTTAGTCAAATAATTTAATATTCATTATTCTAGAAATGTCATGAAATTTTGTTAAGATTTATTTAGATTTTGTGTATAAAATTCTCAAAGTTTGGTCTGTCCTTTTATGATGATGATTATCATTAGTTTATTATTATTATTATTATTATTATTATTATTATTATTATTATTATTAGTTTCAGGAGTGTGGGCTCTGTTTCCGGAGTGTAGCCTATGTTTCAGGAGTTTGACCTCTGTTTCAGGAGTGTGGGCTTTGTTTCAGGAGTGTGGGCTCTATTTCAGGAGTGTGGGGTGTGTTTGAGGAGTGTGGCTCTGTTTCAGGAGTGTGGGGTGTGTTTGAGGAGTGTGGCTCTGTTTCAGGAGTGTGGGGTGTGTTTCAGGAGTGTGGGTTGTGTTTGAGGAGTGTGGCTCTGTTTCAGGAGTTTGGGCTCTGTTTTAGGAGTGTGGGGTGTGTTTGAGGAGTGTGGCTCTGTTGCAGGCGTGTGGCTCTGTTTCAGGAGTGTGGGGTGTGTTTCAGGAGTGTGGGGTGTGTTTGAGGAGTGTGGCTCTGTTTCAGGAGTGTGGGGTGTGTTTCAGGAGTGTGGGGTGTGTTTCAGGAGTGTGGGGTGTGTTTCAGGAGTGTGCTCTCCTGAGATTAAGAAACGCTCTTATTTCCACATATAGACTCGAGTGTTCGAGCTGTTTCAGGAGGCTGCTGCTGGTGGCTGTAGGTTGGACTTGGCATGGAAGGGCAAGACCCATTCCTGTCAGAGGCAGACTCTATGGCACCACCATCTGCTGCTGAGTGAGGAGAGATGATGAAAGATTCAGGGCCTGGGACTCGCTCATCTGTTATCGATTATGCTACAGATGTGCAAGCATCCCTTCCGGAGCCCGACAGGCCAAGAGGGAGCTGCAGCTAAAGCACATGCTGGACTGGATTCAAACTCAGGAGCACCTGCACTAGCAGATGAAGTGACGAGGTGCAGGAAAGCAATAGATTTCAATAATAAAAAGAAAACGTGACGTATTCTTTCAAAGTGATTTGAACCCTTTACAGAACCCTTTCTTTAAAGAGCAGAGGTGACCTCGATAATTAAAGGACAATTTTCAAAATGCATTTCAAAATTTTCTAGCAGATTGAAATGATCTGATGGCGGACACACCCACCCACACACACACACACACACACACACACACACACACACACAAAAAAGCCCTCCCCTGAATGGTTTTTGACTCTTGG